TAAATATAACCACTTACTTTGAATCTTAATATTTTCACACTTTTTATTTATGTTTTTTTAAAAAAATAAAGTCCATAAGATAAATCCAGGTAGCCTAGTTGTTTTGGTTACTTGAACAAAATAGACAAACTAAGAGAATCCTATGAAATAGGCTGATCAGTTGGGCTGCTCTTGGTTTACAAGTATTCATGAGAATGATTCAGTTTATGAATGTTTTCTAAAAATTATCCTTTTAAACACTGACCTATTTAAGCTCAAAATGGTCCAAAGACTTTTTAAATTTACTTTCAATTATCATACACCATATTCGGTTTCATTATGGAATTTTCAAACAAAATTTTATTTTCTTTTCCCCCATCCTTATAGTCTTCCACACTCACTGTCACTCTCACTTACATACATATAAATACTATAATCTAAGATCTGTTATGAGAGAACATGTGATTTTTATCTTTCTAATTCTGAGTTACCTCACTTGATATACTTCCCAGCTCCATCTATTTTCTTACAAATTTCATGATTTCACTTTTTTTTTAACAGCTGAATAAAATTCCATTGTGTGTAATACCATATTTTCATTACACATCAGTCGATAAAACATCTAGGCTGGTTCCATTTCCTTGCTGTTGTGAATAGGGCAGCATGTTGACCACGGATGGGCAGTTATCTCTGTGGTAGAATATAGTCCTTTGTGGATGTACCAAGGAGTGTTATAGCTAGATCATATGGTAGATAACTTTATGAGACGCTTCCACACTGATTTCTGTAATCAGTCTGAACTAGGTTACATTTCCACTAGCAGTGAATAAAGGTTTCTCTTCCCCCACATCCTCATCAGCATTCATTGCCTCTTTTCTTGATGACAGCTGTTCTGACTAGGTTAAAAGAGAATCTCAAAATAGTTGTGATTTGTCTTTCCTCATGGCTAAAAATGTTCACTGCTGTTTTTAAGTACTTATAGACTGTTTTATGATACTTTGTGTTTCTTTTGAGAACTGTTATTTCATTAGCCTCTTTGTTGACTGGCAGAGTTTTTTCTTTTTTTGGTATTTAGTTTCTGTAATTCTTTCTTTATCCTAGGTAAAGATTTTCTCCCATTCTGTAGGCTGTCTGTTCACACTGCTGAGTTTTCTTTCCTATTCAGAAACTTATATTTGTTTGTTTTTGACACACAGTCACACTGTAGACGAGGCTGGCCTTGAACTCATAAAGATCTGTCTGCCTCTGCCTCTTGAGTGCTGGGATTAAAGACGTGCCACCACACCTATATCTTGACGCTTACTCCCTGGTTTTCTTTGCCATTTTCAGTATTTCAGGATTTAAATTGAGGTCTTCAATCCATTTTAAATTGATTTTTGGGCAAAGTAAGAGATTCTTCTGGTGTGTCCAGTTTTTGCCAGCACCACTTACCAAATAGGCTGTCTTCTTTCCACTGTGTTTTTGACACCCTTGGTGGCCATAGTTGTGAGGGTTTATTCCTTTGACCTCTCTTGTTTTCTGTTTGTCTATATGCCTGCTTTTGTGCCAGTACCAAGCTTTGGCCTCTGTAGTATGTTCAGAGGTCAGGTATTGTGTGTCTTCAGCAATTAGAGTAGCCAAAAGCCCCATAAAAATAAATAAATCCAAGAAGAAGAAAGGGTACATGAAGTTATCAGAAAAAATTACGAGGAGTTATGGGAGGAGTTAGAGGGGAGGGAGCGGGAAGGGATTTGAGCAAAACACCTTATATGCATGTATGAAAGTCTCAATAAATTATTGAAAAAAACAAAGAAAAAAGAAAAAGGGTGATAAAGAAGACTGTAACAAATACGCCAAATATTAACCTGATTATATTAATACTCACTTAAAACCTCAATGATCTAAACACATCAATGAAAACAGAGACAAATAGAGATCAAGAATCAGACAGAGCTGACTTCAGAGTAAGGAATAAAAAGGGGCACTATATAATGATAAAGCAGTTTATTCTCTAGGATGTATTGTGCATACATACCTCTAGCAAGTGTCAAAATACACGAGGTAAAAACTGATAGAAAGAAATAATAAACAATGTAGTAGAAATCAACAGAGAAATCAGCAAAATAAAAAACTGGGGCTTTGAGAAGATTAATAAAACATAAACATTGAACTAGTTAAGAAAATGATATAAATATTAAAAATAAAGAGAAGCTGTCATTATCGAGACATGAACATTAAAAAGACAATAAAAAGGCTAAGTATGAATGCTGTATACAGATCCACAAAATCCTAGATAGAATGGGCCAGTTCCTTGATAGACACAATCAAAGTTCACAAAAGAGAAACAGATAATCCGACTAGCCCTATTAAAGACGTTATATCAATAACTAATAACTTTTCAAAGCAGAAAGCACTAGATATGAATTGGGATCACTGATGAATTCTATCAAACATTTAAGACATTATACAATTTCTCTACAATCTCTTCCAGAAGACAGTAGCAGAGAGAATGCTTCCTTATTTATTTGATGAAGCTAGCATTTCACTGACACCAAAATCAGATGAAGATTACAAGAAAAGAACACCCACAAACAGATATAAAATTCAACAAAATATTAGCAAATAAAACTTAGCAACATAGAAAATAAATTATTCATAACTGTTTTAATCTGTTTCTGCTGTTGTAACAGGGCACCATATACTGGGAAAACTATACAGAGAGGATGTTGTCTCTCACTATTTCTATTTAACACTGCACTGGAAATTTGCAGTACAACTAATGCAATAGGATACAGAGAAGGAAATAGAAAGTACTCAGACTGGGAAGGAAAGAATTAAAATTTATCTTTTTGGATGGGATGAGAGGACTATTGCAAGAATAACAATATCTCCTGGAACTATGAATGATTATACAGTCACATTGTAGAACACGAGGTAAATATACGAAAGTATATTACCATTAAGTATATATAAGAAATGAACAATTGGAATGCGAAATTAAAATGATCCTTTTTTTTTTGGTCTTTTTGAGACAGGGTCTCCCTGGAGCCCCAGCTGTCCTGGAACTCACTGTGCAGATCAGGCTGGCCTTGAACTCACAGTGATCTGCCTGCCTCTGCCTCCCGAGTGCTGGGATTAAAGGTGTGCGCCTCCACGCCCCGCAAAATGATACTATTTATATGAACAACCAAAAGAATAAAATACTTAGGTATAGATGTAACAATATATACAAGATCTATCAGAGAAAAACTAAATTCCAGTGAAAGAAAAAGACTTAAATAAATGGAAAGACTCTATGAACAGGAATAGGAAGATTCAACTTTGTTAAGATGTCAGTTCTTTCCAACATGACTTAGAAGTCATCTATAGAGTAAATGCAATTCACTCAAACTTCTAACAAGTTGTTTTATGGATGTCAATAAACTGATTGTAAAGAAAAGGTAAAAGACCCAGGGAAGTCAATATAATATTGAAGAACAAAGTCAAAAGACTTACTCCACCCAACATCAAGACTTACTCAACTTCAAAACTTACTACAAAGCTACATTAATAGTGTAGTGTGATATTAGGAAATAGAAATAAACCAATGGAACAGACTAGAGTCAAGAAATAAAACACATATAAAAACATTCAACTATTCTTTGACTAAAGAATAACCATAATTTATTGGAGAAAGGATAGTCTTTTCAACAAATAGTACCTCCATGGGCATCTGTATTCATGTGCACACATCTCCTTCCACTGCACACAATTAAAAATAAAGTGAATATTAAATTTTAAAAAGAGCACATGTATTTTTAACTTTGATAGTTTTTCCAAATTGCCCCTATACGTTAAATACACTATAGTTGCAACAACAATCACAATTCTACTATCATGGCTTAACAAAATTTCTCATTATCATAGATATTAAATCTTTCTTGAAGGTGGAAAGGGTATGGGGATTCTCAGAGTTACTGTCAACTTCTCATAAACAAGAACTCAAAGTCATATAATTCTTACCCATTTGAAATTCGGTCTTGGGCTTGATGGCTGGAAGTTTACACTGCCATTCAAACGTATTTGAATAGGAACTCACTGGTTTAGAAAGCCCAGATAGAAGCTTCAGAATCAATTCATCATCCCATGGGTTCTCAACAGCAAAGCCTTAAAATGGGAGCAACAACAACAAAAGAAACAAAACTTGGTATTCAGAGATTTTGTTTTTCATTTCTGTTTCTGAGACAGGGTCTCCCTTTAGCCCCTGCTGGCCTTGATCTCATTGAGATCTGCCTGCTTCTGCACCACAATGCCCAGCTACATTCAGAGATTTTTAACAGAAATTTCAAATACGTGGAGAGGTCATTAAATAAGGTTTCAAAGTCTTATCCTGTAGAGAGCACTGATTCATTAATTAAGATATACTTCCAAAAGTCAAAATTGATAGCTCTGTAGTTACCACCAGTTTAGAGCTACAAATTTAGATGAAAATACAGCTGTGATAAAGGGAATCAACTAGCTCTTAATTCTACTCATCCAAAGCTGTAGGATTCATGCTGCATGTCTTGAAGATACAACTGGACATTATAAGTTATTTCTAGTTGCTTAGAAATATCTAATTTGTTTTATTTAAACCATAAAAAAATTACTACATAAATCCAACTTCCACGAATGAGAAGTACTTAGGATATACAAAAGGGAAACAATTCCTAAAGGGAAGACAAAATTTTCTCTCAAATTTAGTGTTCTAAAATTCTTAGTGGCACTTCTGAAATGCTAATCCAACATGGTTAGTACTGACTTAGAGATAAGTGCATACAGAACATTGTTCTGAGTATTTCACATGATTAACTCACTTAGTTCTTACAATAAACCCAGCCTCCACTTTAAAGAAAAGGAAAAAGGGGACACACGAATCTTGGCAGGGGAGCTGAGGATTAGAACCCAGCCTTAGAACTTAATCTTCAGTCTGTGCTCTCAATCATTATGCAAGACTTTCTGTGTAACAAGAGACAAAGGGAGGTACCACTTAATCCTTAGCCTTGACTGACTTTTCTGTTATCTATGGGGGGTGAGAGTAAATGTCTGACACATTACAACTTCTAATTCCTTCTTCTAACAGTAGTTAGTAATCGTACATCTTTCAAGATCAAAATGGATTGATTGGCCTTCAAATTACTACTGAATTGTATTGTGATGTAGTTACACATTTTATCTAAGTTTATTTCTATCCAGTGATGTCAAGTTTCCACTCTGAGTTCTTTCACAGAATAGCTTTTCCCATACTATCATCCTTATGGCACAACTAAGATTGAGCATGTGTGCATACTTGGAGCACTGACATTCCCAAGTGAACTAGTCTGCATCCATTCAACTTGGAGCCTGGGGCTGGCATCTGGTGGGTCCTCCATGACAGCAAGGTCAGTGTCTGTACACTTATAGGGCTCAAGGCTGCACACTGCTTCCTGAGTGAGTACACCACCTGTGACAGGCTGGCTAGGACGGTGTAAAGATGCTGAATACTCATCAGAAGGAAATGCTTGCTCTTGGATTTTCTCTTGAATTGGACTGGATATGCGAAAAAAGATAGAAAAAACAAAACTTTTAAGTGATTAAAAGCCCTATTGGATTTGATAAAAATAAAGTCAGTTTCACTTTCATTCTAAGAACAGCATTTCAAAATCATCTCACAGATAATCAGTTAAGTCATCTTCTGTTAGACAAATATGTGCAAATACACAACTAGTAAGAAACAAAATCAAAGACATTTAATGTCTTAGGTAAACAGGTAAGGAGATATATTAGGTATTTAGTAGGCAATATGGGGAGGAATGAGATTATTTCCCAAAGCTGCATCTAAATAGCACTACAGTAATAAGATTATTTTTTATCTTAAAAATAGTTTACATATATACATACATGTATACATATATACAGACATATGTCAAGGGTATACAAATATGCATATATGTGCATATACACAGCATTGACCCTCATTCATAAATTTTATAGTTGTGATATCATGCAATCTTGGAGTTACCTAGTTCAGGTCAAACAAGGTGATGTTCTACTCCATTGCTTCAGCTCTTATACTGTGCGTGCGTGCGTGCATGCGTGTGTGTGTGTGTGTGTGTGTGTGTGTGTGTGTGTGTGTGTGTGTGTGTGTGTGTGTGTGTATGTAATAGCATCATGTTTTTGTTCTTCAAAAAAAAATTCTTGGGCTTTTTAAAAAATATTTCACTGCTAAAATCTCCTCAAGCATAGTGCTAAAGTAATGTCTAATGTTCCTAAGTGCAGGAAGGTTGTAATATGACATATAGAGAAAATATGTATTAAGAAAGATGGGGCTGGAGAGATGGCTCAGTGGTTGAGAACACTTGCTGTTCTTACAGAGGACCCAGGTTCAATTCCCAGCACCCACCCGGCAACTAACAACTGCCTGTAACTCCAGGTCTAGGGGATCCGACTCCCTCTCTGGCTTCCGCAGGCTTTGCATGACCCGGGGGTGCACTTACAAACATGCAGGCAACACACTCATGCACATAAACTAATAAATAAAATATTCTTTTAAAAAAAGCTTCATTCAGGTTTAAATTATAATCTCACTGGCTGTGAGTTTAAGGTCAATGAATGAGAACTATGACAAGCTGTTTTTATAGTTAATCTTATGCCAAGTATGGTACATGTGAGTAAAAGGTCCTTGGAATAAAAGGTTTGGCTGGACTTTCTTGGTAGTTCCAAAGATCACTATGCTGAATTGCCTCTTGTCATAAACATCTAATTGAACTAACACTCAAATAAAAACAAATGATTATATAAAAGATGAGAATTTATGCAAGAATAATGAATAAACTTGGACAAGATGGTTAACCCTTATCAACAAGAAATGAATGCAAATTAAACAGGTTTTGTAATTAAAATTTGTACCCAATAGATTTTGATAATAAGAGGAAATTCAGCACAGTTAGAACAAAGGCACTAGAATTAAAAAAAAAAAATACATTGGTTCAAATTCTAATTCTATAATTAGATTTTAGATCAATAATTTATTCCTGAGACCAGATTTCATGTACAATAAGGGTTTAAAAGAGTAATTGTTACAACTCAAGTTATTCCATGAATTAACTAAGGGATATGGTACACAAAAAGCATAAACATTCAAACGATGGTAGATATTTTTCTTCTATGTTAAATGAACCAGCCTATTCAAAACCAGTGGAATTTTACTTTTACAAAGTATTGATGTATGATAAATTAGTATCTTACAACAGCACTTAAGGAAGTCATCTTGCATCGGTACCTAAGGAGGCTTAAGCATTCTATCGTCTCTTAAAATTAAGTTATTGATTTTCTCAATTATATGGGTATATAAGGCACAAATTATGTGTTTTCTCAGTTCTTCAATAGTTGATATGACAGAGTCTTTGTCTTGTAATAAGATTCACAATTTTGTTGAAACAGGGTCTCCCTGTAGGTCCAGCTTGCCTAGAACTCATTATGTAGACCAGGCTGGCCTCAATCTCACGGAGATCTGCCTGACTCTGCCTTCTAAGTGCTGGGACTAAAGGCATACGCCACCACACCCAGCAGGATTTAGTTTTAATCCTGAAATGGAAACAGAAAATGTTGCCAGAGAGATCTGTTACTCAAGCTGCTTCTCTTGCTGCCCTGGCATATCAAGTGCCATCTGACTTAAAGTTACTAATGAGTAAAGACTTATTAGCCTTAGAAGATTGAGATATAGCATTCTACTATTCTACTACATTTTAAAAACAAAGTTACAGCAGCAAAGGAGAAAATAACAAACACAATACCCAAGCTTTCTGTCTTTTGAGACCTCCACCAGGTTTTCTTCACAAGAATTCAAAGCCACATGGGTATACTGTGTTGCTACCACATTTTCTGAAATATAAAAAAAAAAGCAGACAGACATATTACATACACATGCGATATGGTTATAAAGGATCGAATTCCTTTTTATACTAACTTTCACTATAGTGTCAAAATAATGAAAAGTACTATAAAATTGAAAACAATCTGAGAGCAAAAATTTCTTAAAGAAAAAGAACAAGTATATGTGGGAATATAAACTGTCATTTGTTTACACTATCCTTCAAGAAAAACAGGGTTCAGAGAATAGCAGGTCCACTAGAGGCAGGATGACCAGACCACAGGAGGTCACTGGCATGGTAGGCAGGGCTCACCCAGTTTCAACGGAACCTGACAATGATGACAGATGGCAAAGATTTTTGTGTCTTTCAGTTTAATAAATTAGTGACTCACTTTAGTTGACTGAAAGGATTTAGATACTGGCAGAACTCATCATTGTTCCTTTTAACTTACAAACAAACAAACAATAAACAACTTTATTGACAGTAGACAGGGCAGAAATATAGACTAAACCTCACCAAATGGTCTACTATCATAATACTACAGCCAAGGATTACACTAGGTTAAATTTCATCTGATGGTATCTTACAAATGCTAAAACTTTCTAGCATTAGAACATTAGCTTCTGTTTACAGAACCAGAGTGGCTCTCAGAGCAGTCAATATTGACTTTTTGAAGGACTTCACGAACTAGATTTTTCTGAATTGAAAATCTTCAAAAAAAAATTTTTTTTTAATTCAAGTGGCAAACTGGTGACAGTGTTTAGCAACAGCCCAAGTTTCAACCAAAATCTCTTTTGAGATTTAGAAAAGAAATATATGTATTGGATTGGTACTCTAAGAAAGTATCCTAATCCTTAGTCAATTTTTAGGTCATGAGGCTCACAATTCTATTAGAACATACCTCCACCCAATGAAGCGAAATTCTTTGCCAGTTACTTCATTATAGTTTTTCAATTTTTAAAAAATACATTTATTTGCGTGCGAGAGTGCATGTATGCCAATGGCATGTGTGTGGAGGTCAGAGGACAACTGGCAGGAGCTGATTCTTTCCTTCTACCATGTATATTCTGGGATCAAGCTCAAGCTTGGTGGCAAGCACTTCTAAGTGTTAAGCCATCTTGCTAGCCTACTGTTTTGGTAAAAAAATCATTAAATTTTTAAAAATTAACTTATTTTAATGAATGTTTTGCCTACATGTATCAAAGTGTACCATGTGCATACAATGTCTTGGAGAGCATAAAGTATAGATGGTGATATAGTTTGGTATGTACACTAACAATTATCAAAAAGGTACAATGATCCCAGATCTCATAGTATGTACTTTGCAGATCAGTAATTAGTAACTAACAATTATCTGTGCTCAATACATTGGCATATGTGTAAAGATCCTTTATGTAGAGATTTCACATGAGGTGTGGGGTAGAAATGAGGACTAAGAAGTGAGTCTCTTGAAGTCAGATAAAAAAGCTAAAATATAACTTTCGCTATATAGTATACTTGGCTACATACCTAAAACAATAAAATTTGAAGATGGATATATCAGACACCAAAATTGGCTATTTGTTACTCATTAAATTACAAAATAGAGGTTCATTGGTTTTAGTATTTAAATAATGTAATCTTTGTCATATAATGTAGGCATACTCTTGTTGGATATATACTTTTAAGATGATTCTACAGGTTTTTCTACTTATTACCCGTTCATTAAAATTTTTAAATATACACTATCAAGACAGAATGCCAACCGTGGAAAAGAAAACAAATAAAATGAATTTGAAGCTTGACAATTTTCAAACTTCTACTTCAGAATACTCTAGAAATCATAATACTAAGCAAAAACCGTATAACACACACCTTTATCTTCTAGAATGTGCAATGAATTTGCTGGAAGGTTGTGGAATGGTGTAGATGCAAGCTGGGCAGCAGATGTAAAGTCTCCTATACTCTTAGGACTGGGTGCTAGGGTTTTGTTGTATCGAATACCCCAGACTGTTGAATCATCCAAAAATTCTTCATTGTGAGGCACTTCCTATAACAGAAGATGAACCGAGAAACGAAGCAATTTCCCTGCTTTGTTGAAAATTTTAAACACTAACACTTTAAGATTAAGCTGGGCAGATTATGTAGTTCTGCAATCCAAACTACTCAGGAGGCTGAGGAGAAGCCTAGGAGTTCAAAACCAATCTGAACAACACAAGCATGATCCTGCCCCCAAACAAAAACAAAACAAAACCTCAAATAATTTTAAGATTGGAAGGAAAAAAAAAAAGATGAGGAGTTAAAGAAAAATAGATGTTAATGGCTGCTAAAGCACTAGAACACTGCGGTCCAGGGCTAGAGAGATGGCTCAGTGGTTAAGAGCACTGGCTGTTCTTGCAGAAAAATTGGGTTTGAATTCAGAATCCATGTGATGACAAACCACCATCTCTAATTCCAGTTTCAAGGGAACCAACGCCTTTTTCTATCTTCTGTGCGCACTGCATGACATGGGTACACTTGCACACATGTATGCAATATATGCATACATGTAAAATAAAGCAAAAGCAAAACAACAACAACAACACTGTGGTTCAATGAACAATTGAAGCCTGTCTGCTGAGGTATGCTAATAGACAGACCACTTATATTCAATTAAAATTTTCTGAGTTTCTCACATAAAAGTTCCCAAAAATTCCACTGAAAACTTTTATAAATGAATAATACTTTCAGTAAGATGGCAGGTTAAAAATCAACTTGCAAAAATCAATAGCCTTTCTATATACCCATACCAGCAATCAGAAAAAGCACTAAAAGAAACCCTCCCATTCACAATAGCAACAAAAATATAAATATCTGGGAATAAACCTCACCAAAGACATTAAAGATCGCTAGAATGAAAATTTCACATCCCTAAAGTAAGAGATAGAGGAAGACACTAGGAGATGGAAAGACTTACCATGCTCATGAATTGGTAGAATCAATATTGTTAAAATGACGATCTTATCAGAAGCAATTTATAGAGTCAATGCAATGCCAATCAAAATACCCACAGCATTACTCATAGAGATTGAAAAAAA